TTTTTCTTCCAAAGATCTCTATGAACGTAGTGGTTGCTCTCATCTTTCGAATGTTTTTCTTCTAATCTCCAAAACTTTAAAGATAAGATCTAAAAAACCTGTATTTGTATTTTATGCTCTCTTTTGGAATAAGCGTCTTTTCTCATGAAAATTATGGCTCACATTTGGTCGGTAAACAAAATAAGCAATACCTGACTGACATTTGCAGTTTTTGTGCGCCCTCGTCTTCCTGTTGAATGCACTAATAGTACAACAGTAATCATCATTTAAAGATGAGACTGTATGTTGGTATCCTTAACATTGTCTTCAATAAGCCGTTTCTTATCGCAATGAAAAACTAATAGAAGCATATCAAAAAAGCAACAATCCTACTCATGAGTAAAAAGTTTCCTTTAATATGGAAAAAGTTCTACATTCACCACTCACTTTTCAGCTCACACTCTCAAAAGTTAATCGGCGCGAAACAGTAATTGTAAAAGTATTTTCTTCAATCGACAAATACACTAAAATATATTTTTTTGAATAGTTGTATCTATGGCCTTGTCTACACGGTTGTTTCCCGCTAGCCGTCAATTTTTCCCGTCAAAAATGGCCGCCGTCACACATATAAAAAGGAAAAGAGCAAATTTGATTCATCAATTTTTTGAAATCCAGTTCGTAGAGAAATCAATCAATCAAAACAGACAAATCGGTCCGCAATTGAAAGGTTGACTACGTCTGTCGCTAAAGTATCATCTTTTCTCATTGGCTTGTAGTATTTCAGTGAGAAAATATATCGACACTAGTTTTTTCCTTTTCTGTTAAGAATTTCTGTTTTATATGATAACATATATATCTGTTCAGATATTGCATGGTCAATAGAAGGGGATATACTGTTTCTGTTCTATAAAGAAAACAAAATTTCTCTTCCTTTCTTGCGGTCAAAAAAAAATAAATGGTGATGATCCATAGAATATTGGATATAATATGAAAGAACCAATCACAAGGTTGATAGATATACCTGCTATAGTCTCGTTTTTAGGTCAAAATCAATCTAATCCTTTTAATTCCCACAGTTTTATGGCTTAAAACAGCCTGATTGCTCTTTTATTTCAAAAATCTCTTTATTTCGGCAGCCATTTTGTCATTTTTACATAGTTTTGGATCTGACGGCTAGCCTTTTTCAAAATTCCTGCTAGCCGTCAATTGACGGCTATTTTTGACGGCTAGCGGGAAACAACCAAAAGCGATCTAGTATGTTTTTCAGTACTGCAAATTAAATTCCAAACTTCCATTGGCTAAATATTTTTATATAAGACAAAGAACTTTTTTCCAACACTTAAAGATATATTTCGTTTAAAATTGTTCAAAATCTTTTTCATTCACTTCATTCAAAACTGTTGGTGGCAATTCAATTAGTCTTTTCGATGACTTCTTATAATTTTTTGTCACTGGAATATAGTGAGGTTTTACTCGCTGATTATAGATTTCGTTAAAGTCTTGCTCAATTAACCATGAATGAAATTTAACATCGTCAATTCCATGTCCGCCGCATCCTAAACGTTGTTTAGGATTTCGTTTCAATAAACTTTTAATAAATTTAATGGTTCCTGGTGAAAATAAATCGTGTTTAAATTGAACTGGATGATGAAGTATAGCTTCAAACAGTACATTATTATCACTGATATTGTCGCTAGAAAATGGTGGCTGTCCACATATCAATTCATAAGTCAAAATTCCGAGTGCCCAAACTAAAAACAAGAAGGACAAATTGTGTCTGTATTAAACGATGGGTAGCCCCTACAATCAACAGAATGATCATACGGTTCTTGTCGAATGCATTCAGGACCTAGAAAATGGGAACAGAGAAGAACACTCATTTTCATTTGCAACCAAGAATAGAAAAATAACAAAAATGAATTTTTATAATTGTAGACTACAGAGCGTTTACTTCTAGATTTTTCGAACCCAAAATATAGCTATTTTCTAATTTGAAAATGCAAGTCTGGTAAAGAATTGAAATTCTCAAAACTGGATTCAGTTCGATCAGATCTGACCGAGTAATAGTTTAGGCAATAGTTAATGAGTTTTATTTCTCGACTTACTCATATAAGAAGTTGTTCCACACATGGTCATAGTTTTCGATGTTAAACGTTTTGCAAAACCTCGTAACAAATGTAAATGGTACTATTTATTAAAGTATACTATATAGTCGTTCCTTTTATACTAACCAAAATCAATGATACATATATAACCATTTGATTGAATCATTATGTTCTCTGGTTTGAGATCTCTATATACAATTTTGCAACAATGTAAATATTCAAAAGCTAACAATATTTGAGCAATATAAAATTGTGCGTGTATTTCTTCCAGTTTTTCTACCACTCTCAAATAGGTAAAAAGATCTCCTCCAGCAATAAATGAAAAAACCATATAAACATTGAAATTATCTTTGAAACTTGTTATCAAATTTGTGATAAATGGATGATGACAACATGAGAGAATTTTCTTTTCACGAATAATAAATGATTGTACTTCTTTTTTTATTAGCAGAGTTTTACTAGATATCTTCAGTGCTGCTAATTGGCCATTACTGGCTTTCTTATTGATGACACCATCAGAATAACGAACAGTCGGATACCATTTTGTTAAATAGACAACACCAAAACCTCCTTTACCTAACAGTTCTAATACGACAAAATTATTTGTTGATATGGTGGAATCGGATTTATGCTGTTCTGTCCACAATCGTTCAAAATTTGAATTACAACGTTTCGTAACTTTATTCTGCTTTGATTTGGATCTGCGATCGTATCCAGGTGTTTTCTGATTTGTTCGTGCACGGTATCGAGAGTTTTCATAGTTTTTAGTTTTAATATATTTAGGAACACCTATTGTTTGTTGAGCAGTTTGATAAGCATGCTCATAGTTCTCATCATTACCACTAGACATTCGAAACAAAAATGTTTTATATCAACATTTCATCGTTTTAAATTGATTTCAAATAAAAACAGAACAACATCGGCGCTTGATACGCGATCAAAATTGTCAAAGCATTAATGCAAAATTTCGTCTGAAACATTATAATAAATGCGCCAAAAAATTTTGTTTTAATTGTATTCATGATTGATCAAATATGATAGTTTTGCCAAAGGTTTTTACGTGAACACATACATATAATCATGCATCCTAGATAAAATCCTAATGAACTTAATTTGTTTTTAAAATTTAGTTTAAATATGTTGAAATTTAAATTTCTATGAGAAAAATTATGAAACTTTTAAAAAATGTTTAGTGTCTTGATAAATGAATGAATTGTAGATGTAAGAAAAAAAATATATGTCTAAATAATATGAGAGCATATTTCTATTTAGAACAAACTCAACGTGACAATAAAATTTTTATTCACACAATTCAACATCATTATATTACTTTGAACTAACT